GACCAAAATCAAAGTTTTTCAAAAACTTCTGCTCTGTTTTTATTTCTGATTCTCCATATAAATCTGGCTAAAAGCAACCATCAGCACCAATGTTACAACCTGAACACTGAGCATTCTTGAAATGTCCTCTTCCAGATAAATCAGTTCATAACCCTTAACTCAGCCTTCTGCAAAGTACTAGGACATATGCAAAATACAGATATGTTCTTTGCCAGAAGATAACAAACATAGCTATTATTCCGATTCCCAAATGAGTCTACATCTTATATCTCATGAGTCTAACCTTTACTCTCAGCATCTGGTCTTCAGAATTCTGTTTACAACATTCTACACCTTCTCTAGCCTGCATCTCTGAACCTTTCTGAATTCCTCCCGCAATCCAGATACTGATTCTGTTTGCCCCTTGATTCTGAACTTCTCAGGCATTATAATTGTAAGCAACACATTTCTGTTTATAAATTATCCAGCCTAAAATATTTTATTATTGTTTCCCCCAAAATTTTAATGTTCTACTTATGCTTCCATAACAGAAATATTATATTGTGCTCCCACACAATCAAGCATTTGCCTATTGGATGGTATTGTGATCTCCTGATAGAATTCAATGCATTGACTATTTTGCCATTGTGCACTTACTGAGCTCTTGGGAGTTTCAAGAAAATGAGGAAACGAACACAAATCAGACAGGGTGTTTTCCCTTAAAGACGTTCCTGGTTTGAAAAACAGAAATACTTTGGACTGGCATCTTATGTAAAATGTTTGTATATCTTCCGAAGGTCACTTTCATTGCTACAGTCAGGCCAGAGCCCTGGGAAGAGAACTATCATCCCCATTTGGCAGATGATGACAAAGATGCAAAACATCAGAATCAAAACTGGATAGAAACTGAGTTAGAGCTGGCCCTCAGTGCTCTGAGCTGGCACCCAGCACAGAATCCTGCCCCCTGTAAACGTGATCATAACTTCTACGAGCCTGTGGCTATAGTGTCAGAATAGTCACAGCTATTCCTCTTGCCTCTACCAAATGCCTTTCTGTGCTCTTTCTGAATTCCAAATCATAGAGGAATATTAAAGATACAGAATTTTTCAGTAAGTAATTAGGGACCTCTCCTTCCTCCCATGGGGGTAGCCTGAATCCACTTGAGAAGAAATGAGAGATGCCTGTGAAAGTATTACAAGAGAGTTCTCAGGAGCATGGATTGTTAGACCTTGGCCAGTCTTTGAAACCCACTTACTTGAGCTCATGGAGTTTGCTCATTCCTGACTGTGTGGCCTCTGGTAAGTTATTAAACCTCTCTGTTTCTGAGTGTTTTGTTTTGTTTTGTTTTTAGGTTAAAAACAATTCCTTTGCAAAATTGTAATGAAGATTCAATGAGACAAGTTTTCATAGTGAGGCTACTTTCTCAGAGAGACTCTTCATATTACATGGCTTTCAGCAGTCATAGGGCCACAAGACATTAAAAGCCAACTTCAACAGGAAGTCGAAAGACTCCTGGTTTTTTACCTCTACTTTTACACTGAGCCAAAGAATGATAATTAGATTCCTGAAAGCAATTTCCCTTGGGGCCAGTGTTAATAAATGCAGCCAGGAGAGGACAGATAATGGATCCTCCCTCCTCCCTGGTTCTTAAACTCTTATGGGCCGTATGTAAGTTTATTAATATGCTCCTGACAAAAATGCACAAAATTTGCCCACAATTTCAGGGGATATATAGACTTCCAGAAATCATCTGCAGGGCTTCAAAGGGCACTGAGAACTCCTGCATGGAGAGACATTAATGATAAAATAGGTCACTTAGTTCTTCTCTCTGATGGAAAATACACTTTTTATTTCCTTTGCCTTTTATGTTTTAAAGTTTTCTCTTTGGGAAAAACATTTTAGAGAGGGCAAAGTGCCTGAGACCACTTTAATCTCTGACAACCTTAGGGGCATCTGCCTTTCTCTGTCCTGACCTGAGGGCACGGCTGGCTCCCTTATCAGGGAGCCTGTGAGTAGCAGGACTGTGGTCCTCAGGCCAAAGCTCTGCAGTCTGCTCAGATGCACCATGCACTCTGATAACCTGTAACCTTTGTTATTCCATGGATCCTGCACCACAGATCATTTAGGGTCATTATCTCGAGTCTCCAGAATGTCAGGAAAAGGGTGGAGCTCGCAGCACTCTCTGTGGTTTTGCTGGATGGGACAACTACTGTCCAGGAAGTCTATTCCATTGGGGGACAGAGCCAATTTCATTGGAAATTTCTCGAAAAAAGAATCTGGTATAAACAAACAGCAGTCTATGGAACACAGTGGACAAAATCTCACTGATACACTTCCTTCCTTGAGGCCAATATTAAAGTTAAGAATTTTGTTTCACAACAGTGAGGGATATTTCAGAGTTCTTTATTGTTCTAATTCCAGTGAATTCCATTTCAGCTTTCCATTTGCCAAGATTGGTCAGAGTCTTGATTGCAAAAACCTCACCCTCAGAACTAGATTGTAGAAAATCTCCGGAGGGCTTATATGTCCCAAGATACTGGAAAGTGTCCTGGCCCCGAGGCTATGTGGCCTCCACAGAAACCCACACCATCCATTAAAAGGCAGGCTGGTCACCAGGCCTATCCTGGCACCCTCTGAGAGCTGGAGGCTTTGTGCTTAATTATTCTGCAGTGCTTGAGAAACAGAAGGCTGGTCTTTCCTGGTGCGGGAAAGGAGGATGGGGGAAAGCTGTCCTTCCCCAGGTTTTTCTGTTGCCTTACTAGGACGACTACTGCCAGTGTGGCAAGTAGTTATTACCTTTGGCTCCAGACTTTACACAATTGCTCTGAGGTTGTCTGGATCGCTGCTGACACTAGAACAGGAGGGAAGGAGTCTAAATTATCAAGGTCCTAAAGGGAAAAAAGCTGGAGAGATGAGAGCAGTGTCTGCAACCAGTTGGTATATGGAAGATTCCATCACTCCAGTAATATTAACACATTTGTTGGGATTATACAAGGAGTTTATTCTTTCCATTCCCCATACCATATGATTATTTAGGATAATATTTTCAAATGACTTACACTTTGCTGTTTATGTCTTTTTTAACCGTATGATTATTTATAATAATATTTTTAAATGACTTATACTTGGCAGCTTACGTATTTTTTATTATCTTTCAGGTGGGCCACTGATGAGTAGAAAATAAATTTACTACTAAATAAATGCTCTGTAGAAGTGACAAGTCACAAATGCATGCAGAAAAATGTTGTTACAGCAGAGATTATGAGTGCTGTGATTACGGTGGTGTCATAGTCTACCTAATATTTCTCTTAGCTTTCCAATCGGCAGCTGAGCAAAAGAAAGGAGAAAGGGTGATATATGTCAGATATGAGGCAGGAACGGTGCAATCTGGTGGACTGAACAGTGAGAGCCAGCTCTCCTTGGTTCCAATGACGACAGGAGCCCCAATATCTCAGTCTCTCCACCCTGGGAAGACGGATGACAAAGCAGCTCTGCCCTGTCCTGAGCCCAAGTTTGAAATATCGGTGGCTCCTCTTTCTTAACAGGTCTCTTCCCATCTCCTTCCACTTCCCCTTGAGTGGTCACCAGTGAAGAGCCCTAAAGGGCAGGGGGAGCCCGGAGTGGGGAGAAGGCGGCATTGCTTTTCTTTCTCTGTACTTTGTGTTCTGTTTTACCCCTCTTTTTCTTCTTCTTCTGTACCCATCCTCTTCTTCGCCCGGTGTGTCTCACAGTTACTCCCTCACAGTTAAAGCCAGTATCACACGCGTTATTTTTGTTGTTACAGTAGCCTCTCCCCTTATTTCCCACTGGAATGCTTCCTGCCATCATTCTGTTTTTATACAAGAAGGCTTGGAATGTGGTGCCATAAATAAGGATGTGGGGCTCTTGGCCTCATATTAGTATTTACCGATGAATAGTAAATGTGTGCATTTGTTTCCTGGGCTCGCTGCAACAAATTACCACAAACCTGAAACTTAAAACAACAGAAATTTATCCTCTCAGGGTTCTGCAGTCCGGAAGTCTGAAATCACGCACTGCGTCTGGACGTCCTAGGGAAACGTCTTCCCTTTGCCTCTTCCGGCTTCCACTGCTGCCTCCGTTCTCTGAGATCCATCCCTCTAGTCTCTGTCTTCACACAGACATCGCCTCTTCTCTCTGAGTCTGTGTGCAAATGATGAGGACGCTTGTCTTTGTATTGAAGGCCCCTGCACACCCAGATAATTCAGAATGATCTTATTTTAAGGTCCTTATATCTTCAAGGCCCCTTTTCTAAATAAAGTCATATTTGCAGGTTTTGAAACATGGACAGATCTTTTTGAGGAGCCATCATTCAATCCACAACAGTGAATTTAACATTCATAAAAATCCGGAGCAGGTAACAGACACTCTAGTTTACAGACAAGAAAACGAGTGTCCAGAGTAGTAAGTAACTGTGATAAACGGCGTACCCAGAATTCAAATTCAAGTCAGTGTAACATCAGAGCTTACTAAACTGTATCTGAAAAATACACCATTATTTCCTTTGTGGTCTTTCTTATGGCATCCAAAAGCAGTCTCTTAGTGACTTTCCTGGCGGCCAAAACAAAATACCTGACGTTCAAAACTTACATGGGGAGAGGGATATGTGCGCTTGCATCTCAGTCCTTGTGTGGCCGGCCAGCTGCAGCAGGGGCACGCAGGAGGGTCTGACGAAAGGAAACTGCTCCTGGCAAGGCCTACAGGAAGCAGAAAGGCATGGAGGAGCTGGGAAGGAAGACATACACTCCAAGGCACGCCCCAGTGACCCACCTCTTCCAACTACACCCCAGCTCCCTGCAGCCAACCAGCTGTGATGTCCCCAGCCCAATCACCTTCCAAACACCTGAGTATCTGGGGACCATCTTATATCTAAATCATAGCAGCCAGATACAAAATCACCTCAGCAAACTGGAGATATCAATATTTCTAATAAATACAAAGTGTTATTTAGTCTAATGTATTAACTTCTGCTGTAATGCAGTTTTCAGACACAGTTTAGTATATTAAAGGGGAAATCCAAGTATTTAACTTGGGAAAAGTCTCACGAAAGTAGCATAAAATGAACATTAAATTTCTGACATAAGACTAGGAAAGGATGAAAAAGTAAGTATGCCTCCTCATTTTTGTACATTTAAAAAAATTGGGGGCCATGATATCCAATGTATTATCTGCTGAATGGAATTTAGAAATCAAGACTTCAGCCAACCAGCACAATTTTTCTTTATTAAAGGAAAGCACACTAGCAATTTTTTTCAGTATGTAACCCAATATTCCCAATGACCTTCTGAACATTTCCACATGGATATCTTTGCATCACTTTACATTGAACTCTAGCATCGGTTTTCTTCCAACACTGCTATTTTGATTTTTCCCAGTTCTTATTATCATGCTTCCATTCACCAAGCTGAAAATTATCTGACTTACTGAATTTTGTTTCTCCTTTCTTCAGGGTATTTTATGTGCATTCATTTATTCAAGTGTTTTGAATACTTCCTCTGGGGCAACCACCATGCTGTGAGAAGAGATACAAAGCTCTAAAAAGGAAAACACAACCATGTCCTTATAATTTAGCAGCACATGACTACAAAAGTGATTCTTGTCCTAAAAGGTCAGTGAACGCTGTACGCAGACATGAGTCCTTGCAGAATGAAACACATCCCTTCCTTCTGGCCCTCTCTGCTTTGCTCCGGTTAGGTCCTTATCATACCTGGCTTCGAGAGGCAAACTCCCTGCCTTGAGTCTGCCTCTTCTGATCCATGCTGAAGGCTTCTCCCTGCTTAAAAGTCCTATACATCCACTAACCTTATGAAACTCCTCTCTTGAGAGCTCCCAATTATACTTCATGCTGACACAGCCCTCTTTTACGTGGCACTTGAAATATTCCTTCTTGTGAATGCAATGCCATTCGATTATGAGCAGAATTCTTGGGGAAGTCAAGGAAGATGTTTCATGTTCCCCCTAACATCAAGAGCTTGGCACTGCTAATAAATTCTTTTGGCCTCATGGAACCTTTGCAAAAACCACTCATCTATTTTAAGATGTTAAGCTCTAATCCTTGAATAGTTGTTGAAATAATTTTTCCCTAGACCCTTCAGTCTTTCTCTTTTCTGCCCCTCAAATTTCCATCTCTACTTCAAACATCACTGTGACACCTCCCTGACCCCAACTGCTTTCGCACTTTTCCCATTAATCCTGACACTCATTGCTGTACCTTTGGCTGAAGGGGTTCAACTAGTTTCTATCTACGATGTTATTTTTCTCTGTATGCGGTTTGCCTTTATCTCCACAGTGAGACTATGGGCTTCTGAGGAGGACTAGTACTGCAATCAGTGTTTCTTTGTCTGCAGCCCCTTCTGCTGAGCAGTCAATGTTCCATGTAATCACAGTTTTAAGGCCGAGGCCTGAACATAATGAGGCCCAGCAATGTAAAGGACACGCAGCTAGTTACATCAGAAGCTGTATCTCTTATGAATGGATAATGCTCACTTTCTTAAACTGATGAATGAATGCAATTACTCAGTTAATAAGGAAACTGATGGATGTGTGCAATAAGGGGAAAAGAAAGTTTCACTCTCATGAAGGCAGCTCAGCCAGTGCTGAACTTTCAGACCTGGAGCCATGCCGTTCACCTACAGATGCTGTGTCCGCTGCTGCTGCATAGTTAGAACCTCTGCAACTCACTTCACCTTCCATTACCCATCCTGGAATCACTGCTGCAGCTGTTGACTCCTCTTACCTGCTGCCTACCTTTCATTCATACACTGACTTACTCTTGGCTTTAACTAGTGCGAAGAGACTCTCAAACCTTAAGTCCAAAGTTGTCAGCTCAACTTTCCACACCTGAGATTTGTGGTGCAGCAACCTGGGAAGACACAAGTGTACAGTGAGTGATCCGGGCTGTCCTGTGAGACCAGGAAGACACAAGGAAGATCATCCTGCTCTATCGCTTGCACTCCAGGCAGACCGGGCCAGTTCCTATGTTTTCCGGGACTTCTGAGCTGTCCATCGGGAATTCAAAGGTAGGACAGGACCACCTCAGGAAGTTAAAGCTGACTCATTGTTGTCTATCTACCCATAATAGCAAATGCATTTCATTCTTCAGCTACTCAGAATGAAATGTAGTGGGGCCGTGAAGAAATTAAAAGTGTGAAGATTTTTAATGAGCACAGTTATGGACTCATCAGTCACACAGCCCATCTGCTTCTGAGCTTTCTGGTGACTAGTGAAATTCTGACATACTGCACAGCATTTTCACATTCATGTAATCACATTAATGTTCTTCAAGGAATGGCTAATGATATTCATATATCATTCCCATTTCCTCCATAACTCAGCATTCTCCTTTTGTCTGTTTCATTTTATTAGTCACTAATTTCCCATTCTGACATCAACTTAGTGGGAATTTCCTGGCAAATGCATGGGCAGGAGGCAGCCCGAGGATGTAATGCACAATACTGTGGAATATTTATTCATAGAGATAAACTAATGAAAAATTTCTCTCAAAGGTCCTGTTTCGCCTGGAGTTTTGAGAGCAGAACGAATGTGGTTTCAGAGTGAACAAACACGGCTCATTTTGAAAATCTTTTCCCAGAAATGATCACTGAGTGGAGGGATACAGCAACGGTGCCGTGTCAGAGAGAAGGCTGAGTGTGCTGGTGTGACTCGAATGTCTGTGCAAACTCAAGTGATGGATGGGAAGGAAGGAGAGAAAAGTCAAGGAAGGTGGCTATGACCAATGAATGGAGTATGGAGCTGTGGAACAAGTAATATGAGATGAGATGACAGATATGTTAATTAGCTGATTTAATCGTTCAGCAATGGGAACATACACCAAAACATCATACTGTGCCTCATTAATATATACAATTATTATTTGCCAATTAAATATAACAAGTTTTTAAAAGACCAAGGAAGGATGCTCCTCTAGGGGCTTCTGAGGTATCACGGCTCTGGGGATCCTCAATTTCAGACTTGTGACCTCCAGAGCAATGTTAAGTCACCCATTCGGGGCCCTCGGGAAGTAATAGAAGGCACAGAGGTATTTGCCGTGATTTTGACTTCTCTGCATCACATCCATCCAGCACTTGCCCATCTGTGCCTCCTCCTGGGCGCAGCACTGCAAAGCTGATAAAGGCGTCCTGGGGCCTTCAAAGGTCTGCTCAAAAGGTTAAAGGCACACAGGGTGTCACTTCTCTCAGCCTGGAACACCAATGTCTTCTAGGTCTTTGTTTATCATTGCATTGATTTTCAGGAATATTTCCCGGCTTTGTGCATGATAATGTCACCTGAGAATACCTATCCAATTGAGATAATAGGTTTGAAACATCTGGAGAAAATCAGCAATGAAGACACAGTAGTTAGAGTTAGGGTAGCTGGGGGTGAGCTAGGGGTCCCAGAGAATACACAGTGCTAAACTAACTGCATTCTCTCTGCTTAGTCAAAGATGCTTGTCTTGTCTGGACTACAGCAAAATGGCACTCAGCCGGCCTGGGGCTCCTATTCCTGTTCCCCCACTTACTTGATGTACGTTGTGAAAATAACTTCACCTCTTTGTGCCACAAGTTTTTACATCTGCATTTACTTCAAAAGTTTGAAAGCCAAAATTTTTTAACAAAAAAACCCCCAAAAAGCCTTACTCAATCCATACACACTGGTTAGAATATTTGTCCCATAGCAAGGGGTCCAAAAATGTTATCTATTACTTTATAGATAAGCATCACTGAGATCATAGAAATACATCTGTGTAACACAGGAATGAGTAAACTAATTTTCTGGAAAAAGATGTTTTACTGGGAATAGAAATATTTTTGTTATGTTAATTCATCTTGCTACTCATCAGCAATTCTCATGAGATGGTAGGGACACAACACAAATTAAGACAGAGTTGTTCATTTATAAAGTGATTTTTGTAACATAATATGTTGTTTGTAACATCTAGTAATCCAACAGAGTCTAGAAAGAAAAAGGCTGAGGGGAAAAGAAAGAGATAAGAAAGCAAACAAACTTACTAGAGAAGTGTGTGTATAGGTGTGTACCCTGTGCAAATGTGTGTGTCTGTGTTTTGTATTCAGGGAGTTGGGAATGAGAAGAGGGACTATCAGAAAGAGATGGATACAGATTCTGTGTTCCCTTCCCTATCTGGAGCTTGGCTAATTCCATTTCCCTCTACACAGGAATAACCAGAAAACCAATAGATTCTGCCTACTTTTAAAAATCATACTATTATTTACACAGAGTGAATCACACCAATTTTTAAAGTGCAACTCAATAGTTCTAAATACCTAAGTAATAAATTGACAGATCAAGATAATAACATTTATATTAGTCCAGAAAGTTCTCTCATACTCCTGTACACTTAATAAATTCTTAGAGGAAGTTGCCTAAACATAGCTACCATTATATATATGAAATAATATACTATATACTATGTCTAGTTTCTTCAGTTCAACATGTTTTTGAGACTTATCACTATTGTTTCATGCATAAATATATTTTATTCCTTTTCAATACTGAGCAGAATGCTATTGTATAATATTTTACAAATTGATTATTCAACTGTTTATGGAATTTTGGGTCGTTTCCTATTTTCATGGTTGCAGACCCAAATAAATGGGGTTAATTCAATGTGCTCTTGGAGTTATTTGAATGCGTTAGTTCCAGGAATCTAATCAGACTTATGAAAAACACCCCAATTCCTGCATTACACTACAATTCATCCTGCGATGAAAGGGTTCCTCATTTTTCTACTTAGTGATGGAAACAGTGGTGTGTCTGCTGCTCCATACTCCATCGTCCAAACTGGGAACACTATAGGAATAGCTCAGCCTGTTAAGATTTCCTATGAAGGTAACTCTACCTTTTTCATTGGACAATATTAGAAAGTATATCTATTTAAAAATACATTTCTACATGAAACTTCCTTATCCCAAATATGCCTTTCACTCAGTAGTGATCAGCTGACTGCAGTTTCTGGATAAATCTCAGATTCTTTCCTCTCAGCTCACAAGAGCTGGCAGTAAGTTTCCACCTTTGGCTCAGAACTGAAGTAATGCTTTCTGATATTTCTGAAGTACCGATTTTGCAGAAAAAATACACATGAATGGCTCTCATGTAAAGATCATCACCCTGTGTAAAGATATCTGGCCTCAAAGTAGTGGTCAGTGAATGCTTAAGCTTTTTGCTTTAGTTTTTCTCCCATTGTGTTTGTTTTATCCTTTGAGGCCATTTCTATGAAGGAGACTGACAATGTCCAGACATGTCCCAGTGCTCGTGTAAACCTGCCCCAAGGTCACCTTTGAGACAGATGGAATTAGTGTGGAGCTTTTCTCTTTCCCCAGGCTTTGCAATGAGAAGCTCAGGAAGTAGCAGATTAGCACGGGTACGATCTGAGAATAAGTTTGTTAAAAAGTTTGATGCCTTTAAAAAGAACAGGAAAAAGACTAATATATAAGAAAAGGCAAAAGTCCCCCGGGTTACCAATGGCTATAGAACCAGCACTGCAAATGAGCCCTGAAATCTAAATTGGTTTAGAAATAGAAGAAACGGCAGTGTGAGGTGTCATTGTACAATAAGTGCCACTGCTTAGTGCTTTAGTTTGGTTTTCTGTGTATTTATGCGAGTACATTGGGTGTCCATCTGGATCTTTTAATCTATCCAGTTATATGCTTGGGCGTGTTCTCTGCTTAATATCCTTCCTCCCAGGCCTCAGGAAATGCATGAACAAATACTGACTTTGGAGAAAAAGAATTTTTGCTGATTATAGAACAAAGCAAGAACATTACGCCCAGCAGGGGACTTCTATTTGCCTACCACAGAAGGGCTGAGTGTACAGTTTTGGGAGCATGTGGCGCCTACGTGGTCCTGGAAGTCTGACCTGCTCAACTCCCATAAAAAGCCCTAGAAGGCCAACCGCCAATCCCTAAATGTGGGAGCCTTGCAACTCCGCAAGAAGCAACATTTTCCATCTACAAATGACGGTGCCACTGTCGCTCTGTTCAGAGCCCTGGTGGGCACCGCACAGTAAGTTGCATCACTTAAGAGAAATGGAGAAAGGTGTTGGATGGATAGAAATGATCCAAAGCACCATTGGATATCGATATTTTGCTATTTCTAGGTCAATTGTTACCTTATCCAGGGAGCACCTAGAGATGGGTAACAGGGAAGACATAGCAGTTTAGACTAGGTCACCACTTGTCCTAATCTCAGCTCTGCTGGTAACTAGCTGTAGAACCACCAGTCTTGGGTGTGCAGCAAATCCCACAATGTCTTTATTTCCTTAATGAAAACAATGGTTGGTGGTTACTGGACATTGTTGCAGTATCAAACAGTTATATATGCACAATATGTAGTAAACTCACCATGCATATTAGACTCTTATTGTTCTTATGCAGTGAAGACATGTATGTAAGCAATTATTGAAAACGTTTCAATGCCTCTTTTCTATTAGAAGAACCAAAAGTTAAGGGGGTAAAAAGGATCATCTGTTTCTTTCCAAGAGTGGAGTCACTGCAAGCAATGCATTTACTTTGAACAGTCAAGCATAAGTGCAGCCTCTTCATTTACTGAAGTAAATGAAAAAGAATGCAGATTTAATGCCAAGAATTCATTTTTGGTTTTTGTGGGACTGACATCATCCAAGAATATTTTTTTAAAACTACTGTACCTATGAACAAGTTTTGCTACCCACTGTGAGGACAGCGATCCCATCTGTCTGAGTTTCATCTCTCTGCCCTCAAAATGAGCATAGCAGAGTAGCTTCACCATAAGCATTTGCAAGCAAGTAAACAAATTTATATTTCTCCTATGCTTTTCCCACTCCATTCATACACACACACCCATGTACAACATATGCACACACCCACTTTGTCTTTCTCTGCTTTATCTCCTCAAACCCATGACTCTTATTCCTCAGAGCTTAAAAATTGGTCTTCCAAAGTGTATTTTCTGATTTCCCCATTCAAAGAATGTCATGCACTTGAACACTCCTGTGCTTTTTCTGTGTCATTCTTCTGATTTCCCATCTTCACAAATATGCATGGAAATAGCACATATCCCATAATAGACCAATGAGGTCAGGCCCGGATTTTATCTTACACAGTGGCTGCCACTCAAAATATATTCACTAAAACTAAACCAGTGTTTCAAAAAGTATATTTCATTAAACTACGTATGATCTTCAGCACACATAAATCTATTTGAGACAACTTCAGGTTATAATCTGAACTTAACAGGCTGGTAGTTTTACTATTATAAGTGAATTTGTTTTCCAACTCTGAAGTTTTTAATTAGCCAATGGCAGTGTGTACTCCACCTGAACCAACTTTGAGAAGTAGCTTGGTAACTTACTGACTTAAACACTTAATTTTTCTAATCTTTGTCAATGTTTGGTTGTCATTAAGCTTCACAGGATATTAAGTGTGGACAGATGTAGCAACAAGTACCCAATAATTCCTGTTACTTAGAAATTTGAAGCGGAAGGATTACAAATGTTAGGTATGGCTGGGCAATGCTGCAATAACAATATCAGAAAGAAGGGAAAGAAAAAATATGAGAAAAGAAGGAAAAAACAGAAACAAAGCTTTTGTGGGGGAGGGCTGGGAGGGAGGGAAAGGGAACAGGAGAAAACAAGAACTAAGATGTGTCATGTACAGGTACAAATTCCCAAGGATGAATGTGATCATAATGGACACCTCACAATACCAATAAAGTTCATAGTAAAAAAATAAAAAGAGCAGGGATGTAGCTTTGCTTAGCACCCCTAGGTGTGTGTTGGGGGGGAGGGGAGTATTCCAACACATTTCCTGAAGTACACAGGCATTATTGCTATTTACTTGCCATTTTACGCTTTTCCAATACTAATCCTACTCATGACTCCAGTTGTGGCAATAGCACCTTCCTTAGCACATTCCTGTGTGTGTTGTCCAGAATGGGTTCCACCGAGAAGCATTAGAAATGCTGGCCGGTGAAGTCAGAGAAGCCAGGAGTCCCCCACTGGATTGTGCGGCCACACTTGGGACGCCCGGAGGGTAAGTAGCAGCCTCGCTCTGGACAGCATGGTCTGCCTCTTCCCTTCAGCAGCACCGCTAAAGAGGCAGGTTGAGCGTCCTCCTTCAGGGGTGAAATGGGATCCTGTCACTTCCGGTTCTTGTTGGAAGCAGGCCAGGTATAAATTATAAATAAATGGATTAATGCAATCAGGTTAGTTTAGCAATTACTGATTACAGCAATGCATTTTGAAAAGTCATTTAAGGAAAGCAATGAGATCTGAGGGGAGGAATTTTATAATAGGATTTCCAAAACACAAATTGAGTCCTCATTCTATCACCAACAGGTTGGCTATTCCCTAGGGTCATTCTCTTCTTTGGTCTCGGTCTCCCTACCTGAAAAATGTAGGAGGCAAAATGGCTCTACAGGGATCCCGAATGGCAGGTACCCTGAGAGATGTCATCTCTTTCAGTTCTCACAAAGTGATAGCATCATTATCCTTATGGTACGCTCGGCGATGTCACAATGCATGCTCTAGCAGCTACCACGAAGGAAGGCAGGACTCAAGTCCAGGTCTACTAAACCCTAAACAATAGGTTTTTGTTTTGTTTTCACAATTCTCTGTTACATCTCCATTCTCCACTCTATAAGGTGTTTGTCTTTACTATGCAGTGTGGCACATCTGCCCTCTCCCCTAACAATACCATGGGCTCCTCTACTTCCTGTCACTGCTGTAACCAATTACCATGAATGCAATAGCTTTA